TGGCTACAGCAGCTTAATCAGCTTTTATTTGCTTTCAATTTTACAGACGTTGCAATTTTAGTTTCTATTAATTGCAGTGATACAAAGACGTTTCTGAGAGTGCTGAAATAGATCAATAATAGCAATTAAAAGAAAATTACAATTACAAGGAAACTGTGCTTTACCATGCCCTGCATAGATCACTAAATTTTAAAGGCCACTGGGTCATGTAGTTTTACCTTATTAAACAACAGGCACAGAACTTTGGTTTAGGTAATTTAAATTTCTCTGCTTTCAATTCCAGCCATTGGCTTGTGAAAATTAATTTCTGCAGAAAGGATGATCTTTTATACAACTCATCTGAAAACCTTCAGGATACCACCCTGACTTCATGTCCCTTTCTTCACAGTATGTGACATGTCATTTCAGGACTATGTTTCTGGCTTCTAGGTTTTATTTCATGACAAACTCAGAAATTCATTAATATCAGTTAAAATTCGCAGGAAAAAATCTGATTTTTCAAAATAGTAAGAAGCTTTCTCAGCTGAATTTAACCCTTAATTTATGGAAGAATTTTCTATTTGGCCAAAAGCTTGTCCATCCATCTAATTTTGGGAATATTTACTCAAAATACTTACTTGCAGAGGCTCAAATGCATGTGAAGACAAGAGTCAAACACCTGCCCAATATCCTGGTGTCCAGGGATGCCAATCAAAATATTTGGTGCTAAAGGGAGATTTTAGTATGGTTTGACCATACCTGATCAGCATCCTTGGGCACCTGCAAATTTGCTGACAATTCCATCACAATATGAGACTGATAATTCTGACTTGTATGGAGAAAATGGTTACAAACAACTTTTTGGTAGCCCAGACTGAGAGAGGTCGGATATTTCTCTCTCTAATAGACAGAACATTATAAAGGCTAAGTCTCGAGGTGACATCATTCTCCAGCTTCAAAAGCAGGGAGTCATGATTTCATAAATCTTATAAACCAGTGCATACAGCAGTGGAAGAGTTGTTACATGCAGCTCATTACTCAGAGAAAAAAAAATTAGAAGCACTACAAGCAACATGTAACTTCATGACAAAAATCCAATTTCCAGTCGCTGCAGACTTCACATCCTAATTCCTACAGGAATCACGTGGGACAAAAATCTTTGGGTTCAAACACCATATTCCATTTTAATCCAAAGTTTAGTGCTTTTATTTTTTTTGCATAATGTTAAAAAAGAGACAGGCAGACACTTTTAGATTAAATCTGAAGTCTCAGAGAACTTTTATACTTAAAAAAACAAAAAAAATCAGCCAAGTTTCAGAGACTCTGAGCACACACAGTCTGCTCTGGCTTGTTCCTTGAAAACTGCCTGGATTCCCCACTATGCTGTCCCCTGTCCCACTTCTGTACAGGAAAGGTTTTCTGTGTGGTTTTTGTTTAGCCAGAATGTATTTCAGTGCAGAATATGCTGCCCAATTAGAAAAGATAGGCATTTTTTTTATTTTCTGGGAATATCATCCTAACAAGTTGCCTAAATCTAATGTCCCACTAAGGATTCTCCATTAGTTAATTTTTCTCCAGCCTATTTTACCTTGTTTTTCTACCCTTTCAATAGCACTTAGCCACTTAATTCCTCATCCATCACATCACCTGAGATCTCTCTGTGCTGTGCAAGGTGTCTCTCATTATGTTCCCTTTCCCCCTCCCTCTCACACATCCCAATCCCCCCGAGCAGATCCAACAGCCTGGCTCTGTAACTCTAGCCCTGGAAACCTGCACCTCTAATTCTGCCTCAAATAATCTTAACCCCCCCCCCAGTTCTCCATTTGTGTGTCATAATCTTGCCCTGAAATCCTTCTACCAAGCCTCTACATGTACTCAGCAACAAAATAACTTTGATTTTCAGTCATGTTTGCCTCAGGTGGGAACTCCAGCCTCCACCTAAAGTTGTCTGTGAGGGAAATGACATAGTTCCTACTCTGGCCAAGACTGGCTGCATTTGAAGAACTTAATTTTGGCATTATAAATAGTACTCTAGTGCTTAAGGCATCTTAATTCACTTCAAGCACTTGTATCACATCGAGCAGTCTACATATACAACAGAGAAAAATCCCAAACCTCCTTGGACACATCCTTCTTCATGAGTGAGAGATCTGCCCATGGGGAAGAAAAGAAACCCCCTGCAATAGTGTTCCCCCTTCTCACCTAGCTCCTTAACAACTAGCAAAATGTATTTGATGCTTTATGTGGGACTACAAGGGTCAGATGTGGGAAAAACAAGGGAAATTTGGGAAGTCACCTTTCACTCAGCTGGATTTTAGGGCTGCTCGCTCTGATTTGGGTCCATCCCTCTCCACCATACCAAGAACTCAAAGAGCACCAGGACCTGCACCCAAGGTTTTTACTGCTGAACTCATTTTCTGCAGCTTTATCTGAAATGCCACAATCATCAACTTTAACACTTTTATCCAACCCAGGCCCAAGGCAGAGAGCTAAAACCTAGCAGATTCAAGAGCTAAAAGAACTCTCCTCTCCCCTACTTGCCTTAAGAAGGAAACATCCACTTTCTAACAAGAAACATTGTTTTTAATCAGAATATCTCTCCCAAATATAGATTATGGATTTACTTATTCTTTAGAGTGTTTGAACACCCTGATGCTGGGGAGCCAAAAAGCAATGCAAAAAGCACCAGCTAAAATAAATGTTAAAAACCAAATGAAGATAAAGAGCATTAATAACTGCAACCACCCAGAACACAGCAAGCAGCTCAAAAGACTTAAATGTCACAAATCAAGACATATCACAAAAAAAATAAGAAGATCTCCCCTGAAGGACAGGGAAAAGAGAAAATATAGACCCAGGGAGGAAAGGCTGACTGTTTACATACCTGTTTTCAAAATCACTTCAATTCTTTTCAGACACTAGGGAAGGCTGGAGTTGGAGGGGAGGGAAATGAAGTAAATATAAACTGGTACCTGCTGGAGGCTCCAGAGCCACAACACAGTGCTTCATGACAAGGGAATCTTACTGTTGTCTCCTTTATTAAAAAGGAGTTAATGTTTTATTTCTTTGAAAGCAAATGACAGCTGCTCTAGGACCACTGGAATTCATGATACCTTGCTATGGTTATTACATTTTGATTAAAGTTTGTCACTTTTAGGTGTGCCTCAATTATAATGCTCTGTGGCAAGATTCTCTTCCCTGTCACAAATATTGCAGATGGTTTATTTCCCAAGTATAGGTTAGAGAAAGAGGTTAACCTCATCCTTTAAATCTGTCCTGCTTGGCAACAGAAATTTTAAGTTTGTTTTACATATTAAAGAACCAAAAATCTGGAGATAGTGCTGCATTTTTTATAAAAATCAGGTTCCTCTGAGTCTGAAACTGGTTACCTTAAAAGGATTTATTACATCTACAACCTTGCTAATATCACCTTCTTACACAGCCTGACTGTACAACCTGGTTTCAGATGGACAGCCCTCATAGGATCTTGAATTTAAGCTGCAAGTATTATCACTTCTGTCATATTTGCTATAAATAAAATGGAACCATGTCAAAAGATGCTACTCAGCATGCAGAGACAGAGATGGAATTTTCAAGGAGCTCTACAAAATTTGCAGCAAAGCCTGCATTAAAAAAAAAAAAAAGAATGTAGGTTTTATATAGTGAGGATATATAAGTGCAGAATTGAGAATTAAAAAACAAACAAACAACCCCACTAAATGGTGTTCTAAGATAAAACTGTTAAAATGTTCAAATCTGTTTATGGCCGTGAGGATAAAAAGCTCTAGAGAAAAATTAAAACAAGTCCTAAAACCATTACAGTTCCATTTTAATAATGAATTTCTGTACACTGACTCGTGCATGCATTATTTGTTGTAGTTATTGCTTGTTTTCTGTATTAGCTTAGGCTGCAAGCTCAACTGCAGAAATGTTAACGCACTTAGCAGTTAAAAAGCTTTAATTCAGCATCCATCTACGATATTTATGCTCTCTCTCCTCCAACAGGTTTTCAAATTTTAGCTGTAGTTGAAGAATTGTACCAAAAAAAAAAATGGAAATAAATCTCCCTCTCAAACAAACATTTAAAATGCCTTTAAAAAAAGTTACAGCCCAGTTCAAAAGGTAGGATTTTTAAAAATCCTAGGGCGGGATTTAAAAAAAATATTTATTCAGAGCCATTCCTGGCAAATTTGTCACCAGCTTCAGCCAGAGCAAATACAGAACTGTAATCAAGGCCTGCAATGGGCTGGGACTGCCCAAAGACTGAGCTGAAAAGGAAGGTTGTGACAGGGGACATCCCAACTGGCCCAGCCCACTTTGACAGGGACTTGCACCAATGCTTTTGGATGACATTCAAGCCCTTCTGAAACCCCCATCTCTAAAATAAACATCCACACATGGTACTGGAACCCCAAGACACCTCTCCACCAACACAGGAATGTCTTGCTGGCAAATCCCAGCAGCTCAAGGCCACCCTTCTGTATTTGCACAGAGCACGAACTGGGTGATGCCTCAGGTTTTATCTTTTATATTTTTCAGATTCTGTGCTGCTTTAGTGTGCAGTTCTGAGCTTTGTATCAGGGGATGGTGAGCTCTCTTCACAGAGTAGGGAGACAAACAATTCCTGCTCCAGCTGGGGACCAAGGACAAATGATCCAAATCTCAGACCCAAGAACATAAACAACGTGGACCAAAGAGAGAAAAACAAGAAGGATGGGACTGCATAACCTAAAGCTGTACTTGGACAATTAACTCCAAAATGCAAATAGACCAAACCATATAAAAGTGTGAGACCCCCATGACTGGTTGTCCATTTTGTGACTATTTGGGTTTATTTTGAGTGTAGCTGTGGTTGGGCTGCCCAAGGTGGATCCATTGAGGCCTTCTAATAAATCTCTCCTTTATTCTTTAACTCTGTCCAGCCTTTGCTCTAGGTCAGCCTTCACAAGGCACCAGGGAACGAACTTGTAAATGAATCCTTAGGTAAAACAATCCTTTTTAGACAGACTACAATCACTTACCTCATCCACATTCTCAAAGGCATTGATGATGTCATATGGTAAACAGGACAGAAGATCAATCACAAACCACGTCTTCAGGTAGTTCATCCGTATGAGCTTGGGATCAGATATAACCTCTCCCCCGGGGCCAACAAAGGTGGTGTGAAAGTTCAAAACTATGTCAACCAGAAAAATAACGTCCACGACGCTGTCCAGCACCAGCCAGGCAATGTTGTTCTGCTTTGTCTTGAAGGACACGTTATATGGAACCATGATTGCTGTGTAGAAGGTAAGAATTAAGATGACCCAGTCCCAGGTGGTCTTAAAAGCACAATAGTGGAGTATAATGTGTGGTGGAGTCTTTGGAGCTTCTTGCTTGTACTGAGGAAGAATATCAGATCCCAGCTGGAGAACCTGTAGGAGGCAGAGAGACAAATGTTCCTGTTTTCAGTGAACAGGATCCAGTGAGGGGTCTTACAGATTTCTTTGGGGAGCAGCAGAGATGGGACTGTGCTCGTGGGACATTGCAAGGCAACCCACAGTTTCTAAATAATCTGATTTATTTAATATATGGAGGCAGCTATCACTCAATGAATGGGAGCAGCATGGCATCTCAGGATATTCCTGCAAAAAGAGAGGTCTTTGCAGATGGACTGAGGGGAAAGCATGCCAACAGCAAGGGAAGTGAGGCTCCATACAGAGGTTTTGGGTACTGCCACACCAGCATATGCTTTGTAGCTATGAACACAGCATCATAGAATGGTTTAGGTTGGAAAGGACCTAAAAGATTATCTATCTCCAACCCTCCTGCCACGGGCAGGGAATCTTCCACTACATCAGGTTGCTCCAAGCCCTATACAACCCGGCCTTGAACACTATCAGGGATGGGGCAGCCACAGCTTCTCTGGCAACCTGTTCCCATGCCTCACCAGCCTCACAGAAAGGAGTTTCTTCCTAACACATAATCTAAACATGAACACTCATTCAGATTTGTAATAGTTTCAAGACCAATTCTTTGTGCCTGACCTCATTTTAAATCACTGCTGAGCCAGAGCAACACCCTATCAAAGGTGAAACAGACCCAGCCTTGCTGGCTGACCTCCTAAAATGAGGCATCATGTGCACAACTTCTGCCTAAAACCCTGCCAATATCACACTTCTTTCATATTTTCTTCAAAAAGTTGTTGCTCCCACAAGCTCAGTATCACTAGTGGGTTCTCCTTTATTTCCTGTAATTATTTCTTTTTTTTTCTGCATAGGACTATAATCTCCTGCTTGCTCACTGCTGTAAAATTGTGGAACTGGAAACACTGTAAAAACAAAGCCAAATTCACTTAAGGCATTCCCAGCTAATCTAATTACCTCTTATCTCAGTCCAACACAAGAAACAAAAGCCCAAAGGAACACACTCGTGGCAATTCATTGCCCTGACAACTGAAAGATCCATTTGGGGATCCATCTGGGGATCTGAAGTCCGTATGGGATAAAATAAGTAATTACAGCAACATTAAAACTCATTTTAGCCCTGCACCTGCCCCATACTGGGGGTGATGTACCATATTTCCAGGGGCAGTTAAACTGAAAACAGCAGCCCCAGATGTGTAAAGTTGATGAAACACAGGGTCCTTCATGGATGGAGAGGAGTAAAGTGCTCTGAATAAACTGTATAATAACTAAGAATATTAACTCAAGCACCACAAACAGGGATTCACCATTAATTCTTTGCAGTCTTGTCTTTTAGATGTTTTTAAGAGAAAGCTGATACTGATATCAGACAGCAGCCTCCCTCAGTCTGTGATGGGTGATGTGGCTCCCCAAGATGTCAAATCTGGGCCAATGTCAGGCTGAAGGGATCCAAACCTGCTTCTGCCTACCTGGTCCCACCCTCCCTAAGCCCATTTTTAGCAATCACAATCTGTAGGGAAAGTCAGTGGAGCTGTAACTTGTTATGTTAATTGGCCTTTTTTTTTTTTTTTTTTTTTTTTTTTTTTTTTTTTTCTACAGGGTCAGCAGAATTGCACAAATTTATCCCATGGCCAGAAAAGCACTGCCACTACACAGGCAGCAGTGAGAGAGCAGCAGAGACCTCCAGGAGCCCGTGGCTGCTCCCTTTGGCAGCAGCCTCGTGTCACAGCAGCCCCAGTGTAACACAAAACCCTCTGTGGAGTGGTGTGGTCCCCGTGGAACTTGTCAGAGACAAGCACAGATGCCAAACCCCTGGTCAGACCTATAAAAACATCAAACTCAAAGTGTCTCTCCCCCAGTGCCCAGGACAGACTCACTGTCAGCACTTCTATAAGCAACCACTGCAGCACACTGAACTTGATGGATCCATGGGGTTTTCCCTGGAATTCAAGCAGCAATCAACACAATCATTTCCTCACAGCTGCCTTGTGAAAATTTCTTTCAAAGTGAAAATTTTCACCTGCACTTAACACACCATTTTGGCTTTGCCTCGTAATTTGGTTGTTATCTCCAGGTATCTCTTTGGACACATCAGTTTCTAACACTTCACTGATAAATCAGCACTGGGACTTCTTTCCCTGGTTTCTTCAGGCCTGTTTGTTCCCTGCCTTGTTCACTGGGGCAGGAGCTGGAAATGTCCTCACTAGAGCTGGAAAATAAACTACTTAGGGCTCAAGCAGAATGCGATTAACATATGCTCGATATTTCCCTGTGCCTCTGGTAGTGGAGTGCTTGGGAGCTCCCACGATACTGTAAAAGCATAATTATTATTCTTAACATAATCTCATGCTGAGTTTGACATGGTGAGTGGGTGGCAAGTGGCTGTGGAGACCATTGAACTATAATGATTATTTCTTTCATGCTGCATGGATTTTTAATCACCAAAGAATACACAATATCTTTGTTAGTCAGCTGCATTCACCACAGACTGCCTGAATTATTCCTGTGTACAGCTAATAAAAATGACTGGTAACTGTTAAGTCTGATAAGGTGAGCAGCACATTCTGCAAGGGATGAGCTATGAAGATAATGCTCCTCCTCAGATACAGAAAAATGGAAAATGGGGCCTGTACAGTGATGGTGAACCCCTCCTCAGTCTGACTTCCTCACAACACTTTGCCTACAAAGCACTTTACAGCCATAAACTACTTTTAAGAGAGGAGTTTGCACACACTTAAGCAACTGCTCCTGAGTACAACTTCATCCCAGCTATTCCTGAGCACACCTACTCCCTTACCTGAGGTTTTGCTGCTGCCTGATCTAAATCTCCCTTGCCTTTTTTTTTCCCTCTAGCTGTAATGGCCCTGGTGAACAATTCCTTCCCTCATTCTATGCAGCTGCTTTGGACTCCTTTGAATATTGTTACCATCTCTTCTTCAGTCTTCCCTTCTCCAGACTAGACCAAGAATGGCTGTAACTGGACTTACAGGACACTGAAATGTCATAAACTTAAAAAGCAGGAGGTGTCAGTAATCCAGCATTTATCCAAGCTGTTGGCGTGGGATCATTCAAGGGAAAAATGCCACACTGCCAACACCTGAAAACTGTGGGTTTCCATTCTGATAATTTGAGATTTTTATTATCAAAGTTCACTAAAACCAAGAAAGGTAATGAAATCAAAAAATGAAACATTTAAAGCTGCTATCAGTTCTACAGGATAAGTTCTCTGGCACAAGGGCTGTCTTTTTCAGTAGCTCATATATTTTGACCCTGTATTTTTGACCAATTTATTTTTCATTACCAGTGGACATGAAGATGAAGGCAGCACCTCTGTTACTCATAAGTTAACCTGAAGGTATTCACTTGTTGCACCACCTGCACTGTTAAGGAGATATTTGCAACCTGCCAAAGAATTCTTTTCATCAGTTCTGAAGATAATAGTGATGAGGGAAATATTGTAGGAATGGCTTTGCAGGAAAGTCAAAATCAGGGTTTATATGCAGGCCAGGGGTACCTACACAGGGATACTTCCAAAGTGGTTTGTCAAACAATCCCATTTTTCCAGGAGAGGGACTTGAGGACATCAAACCTGGTTCCATGTCACTGTGAGACAGCACAGTAGAGAAGCACTCTGTACACCCCAAGTTAAGGAACTGTGGATCTCAGATTCAGTCAAAGAGAGAAATGGAGAGTTTCTAGCCAGGCAGAAGCCCGGGAAAGAGTTGGAAAATAATGTAAATAATTCTTTATCTCTCTTGTTATTCACATTGTTTATAGTTAAGTTCTATCACTTCTGAGTCAGAGTCTTCTCATTCCTGTCCTGCCTCGACAGCGACAAGGAACAACCAGAAAGCTGAGGACTGTGTGCACAGAAATTTTGTCATTTAAGTAAAAGTGACCTACAGAGAGTTCTTTTATGACCTGTCCTAAAAACGTGGGCTTGCCACGTGGTGCTGCTTTGCGACGAGAGGAGGCGAGGCTGAAAAAATCAAACGGGGAAATACTTTCCTCTAAGAATATCCTTTCCCAATGGGAATTAGGATGGGTTTTCTTCCCCCCCACCTCCCCAGGAAGGGAGCAGGCTGGTGTCCACCCCACTTACTTCAGCCAAGCGGGAGTGCTTGTGCACCACCTCAGCCTTGTTCATGGGCGTCAGCTGCTGCAGGACGCTGCGGCTGTTGGTCAGCGCCCGCGTCAGCCGGGCAAACTTGGTCCAGCCTGCAGGGAAAGAAGGGAACCGTGTCAGAAATCACATCAGAACTACTCAGGCTTCATCCAGTGCTCATAAAGCTCCTTTCTGCTCAGCGATATTCAGCCTCACACCTGAATGGTTTCTCTAAATTGCCGCACGGAGCCGCTTCAGGCTCCGGGCTTAAAGACCTTGAGAAAGAGGAAAAATGTTGCTCCTTCAAGGCAACAGAGGTAAATGTGAAAAGAATCAAAACATTCTTTCTTCTGCCTTCTGGAGACATTGTGTTAGAGGAATGACATAGTGTTTTCAGCCTTCTGGGGACATTCTTGGCTGCTGAAATCTAATTCTGCAAAGGCTTCCCAAGCCTGCAAATCCTGTAGAAGGAAAATCCTTCCCAGGTACAGAAAGGCTCCTGTTGATTCAGGACCACTGGAGCAGCCCCAGAAGTCTGATCCTTAAGTCTTTACTGTTTTTTGCCCCAGCTATATTTATGGACAAAAATAAACTGGGGAAAAAAAATTAAGAAGACTGCACCAGCAGCAGTGCTTCAAACTAAAAAAAAAAATATTATAAAGCATTTAAAGTCATATTAATAGCTTGATTTTAAATGGCATTAAGAAATAAATTTAGCTATTATACTAATGATAAACATCTGCTTTAATTGTAGCCTGGGACCCACACAGTGAATTGCCTGTGAGGAACATTTTCCTGCAGCACCCAGCAAGGAGCTCTTTGTTACTGAAAGCAGCACAAACCCAGGGACATGTCAGCAAGTCATTCCTGCTGGAAAAACACCCCAGTGTTTGTGATGGTGTGGAAGCATCAGTGGATGGGGTACAGCAAAGAAAACAGCAGGATTTACAGCAGTGTAGCAGCTCAGTATTGAGCAGGAGAATTGAAAATCCAAGATCTTTAGGAAGGAGACATTCCCAAGGACACGGAAGGAGATGCTGAACATTCAGTTTAGCCAGGTATAATGCTGTTTTATCAGAAAGTTGTGGATAAAATATCAAACAAGTTACAGACAGGAAAGGGGTTCAGGAGAAGGTTTAACTTCCATTTAATCTGAATGCTGAGTAGGTAAAAATTAGGGAAAATATTTGTATCTAAGAAAGGGAACACAGTATTTCTATGTTAGAATCATCACAGAATCACAGAATGGTTTGGGTTGGAAGGGACCTTCAAGATCATCTCGTTCCAACCTCCTGCCATAAACAGGGACATTTTCCACCAGACCAGGCTGCCCCAAGCCCCATCCAACCTGGCCCTGAACACTCCCAGGGATGAAGCAGCCACAGCTGCTCTCGGCAACCTGTGCTTATTTTTAAATACCTTTTGTTGATAAGAGTCAGGGACTTGGAATGTTAAGGGAAGCCCTGAAGGAGATGAAATAATGAGCAGGGAACAGAAAAGACAATAAAACTTCAAGAAAAAATGATGTACAAACTTGCTTTTGCCATTTAGAACATACATACTGCATTCACACAAATGTAAACCCATTGTTCATCATTTAACAATCAGAACAGCTTAAAAAACCATGACACGCCACCAGCACTGCACAAACATTTGTGTCTGGCTATTTATAAATGACCTCAAAAATGCACATAAAAAATTCACTGGGAAAAGGTAAAAAATAGAAGCATTTTATTAACTTTTCAAATGTAAACTTTAAATGTGAGCTTTGGATATGTCTTATGCTTCTGGAGCTTACAGGGATATTCAATTAGGAATATGCACTTTCTCTATTTAACAAGGTCAAGGCAGACTGCAGTGATCTGTGAACTATTAATTTCTAGAAAAAATCCTTGTGCTTTTCATAATTGTCTATAAAACTGCAAGAATGAGACAGCTTTAAGACAGAAGTCAGAACTGCTCTTTATTTTTCTAAACTAGCAATTTCAAAAACCAAGTGAGCCTGGTAATAGCACTGTGACAGCTCTGCCCCAGCATTTCTAGTAATTGCTGGAGGCCACATTGCACCCAGGTGATTTATTTTGGGTCACTGCAAACACACAGCAAGAACCAGGGAAAAAGAGCAGCTCTCCTCCAAGAAGGTGTTCACTCACTTCCAGGTACTCACACACTCATGAATTCAGTCATGGTCCTCTTCCCCTGGAAAAATATTTCCCTGTGGTCCATAAGGACAAATATGGACCAGTCCCCAATCTTTATTTTGTCATCCTGCCTCCCAGCTGATATGAGTGCGAGGAAAAGTGCTCAGCAAAAATGAAACCATCAGAGACAAACTGCTGGGTGCAGCCCAAATCACCCTCATTTGTCACATTGCAGTGTTGTCATCTACTCCAGCTCCTGACAGGGACATGGGGATGTCCAGCAGGGAGAAGTGAAAAGCCCTGTACATAAGAAGGTACAACCCCATGCTGGAGAGTGGTTTGGCAGAAAATGGTGTGGGGATTCCCAGAGGACCGAGCTGAACGTGTCCATGGTGGAAATTCTTGGCTGAATGAGACACAGAACTGCCAGCAGGTCCAGGAGGGTGATCCCCCCCATCTCCTCCTCACTGGTGAGGCCAGTTCCTGCACTTCTGTGAGGAGGATTTGGAGAAAAGTCAGAGGCTGGCAATGACAGGAGATGGCTTCATGCACTCTCTAGAAATCTTCCCTGTCATGGTGCTCTGCAGGCTGAGAGATCCCTCTCACAAAAATGCAGGGTTCAAAATGCCACTGTTATAAAAGCAGAACTGGTAAGAAATCCCTTGTCACTGTTCTAGGTAAGAAAAGCATCTGTCCTGCATTAAGCACAAATGCAGAATTCCTGGGGAAGTTAGGGAAGATGGAGCAGTAAACTGCATAACAGACAACAGTAACCTTTTTCTGCAAAAATAAAAAGAAAGGAAAAACTGCATTTTTTTTCAAATCCTTCTTTACCACCAGTGAGACCATCAATGTCATGTGAAAGAAAGAAGCCACACATTTTAGCATTCAAAGTTACCACTCTGCTTATCTGCTGTGACCTCTTCTTTTCACAGGACAAACCATTTCATCGTGTCCTTTCTCCACCAAGACCAAAGCTTTGCTTTGTGCCAGAGCAGACCTTCTGCAAAACCCTTCCAGCCTCATTTAGACACGTCAGATTTTCACTTTTCTTTCAGCCCTGTTAAGCCCATGATTCTGGACACTGGAACCACAGAATACAATAACATGACTTTTTTTTCTCCAACTCAGCACCAAGTCCAATATTATTTACCTGCTCCAATCTACCCATCTGCAATAGTGTGAAAAAAAGTACCAGGTTCTTTTGTTTCCTATTTACAACCCAAGAGAATTAAAAACACAGCAACAGCAAGATGCTGGGTTGTGAGTGGGAAGGTGAAAATGTATACAGGCTGCCTCGTGTCTGAAATAATCTGCACAGGGTACATTTCTCTCTTTCTTGACCTTGTTGTAGACTAGACAAATTCGGAATTATATTTAAAACCAATGTGTATGTTTAAATAGACCAGAAAATTTGCATAGCTGCCTACTGCTGTCAATGTTTCTTCAAACGATTCTCTCCTTTCTTTTCCTCTTTAGACAGACACTTGAAAAGAAAGATAATTTTATCCCAAGTATTAGTGACCGTCTGTCCTCACAGATATTTTCAGTCTGGAAAGAGTAAAGGAGATGCACAAATAGCAGGTGCAAGAGGGGCAAAACCAAAAATGTACTTATGAGAAAATGCAACACTTTTGATGCTCTCTTCAGCTCAGCTGGATTGCATCTTTCTTCCACAGCACTGCCTGAAAAAAGCACCCTGAACTTGCACCACTGCACTCAGGTTTTTGGGAAAAAAGCATCATCATCAGATCACACACCAGATCAGGCCAGCAGCTGCTTCTCCTTACAAGCAGTTAAACTTGCAAGGAGAAGCCTGTAAACTTGTAAGGTTCCACACAAAGATGTGAACCACCTCGAATGGAAATTTCTGGAGTAGCATATTAAAAAAATGTATTGTTTCCCCTGATTCTTTTTAATTACTTTCTTACCCATGGATCAAATAAGAAGCATTTGTTCCCCTGCTTCAAAAAAACCCCTCGTGATCTGCATTCATTCTCAGGATCCAAAACAATGATCTCTTAAACAGGAACCTAGCAAAATATTTGCCTGTTTCTATCCACTATTCAAGGTAAAATGACTGCATTCTCAGTAAACTGGAGGTTTAACAGTTACAAGAACAGGACATGAAGAAGGCAAACATGCTGATAGACATGGCCTAAACTACTCCCTGCCTTGGCCCAGCTGGAATGCTGCCCTTCCAAGCTGGCAACTTCCTTCTTCCTCCATGCATTTTAGACACAATTAAATAATTTACATCCACTATTCTCCATGCCTCTTGCCCTAAACCAGACTACCAACTTGACAGCCCTCTGACTGTGGGTCTAAGACAGAGATGACTTTGTGATGTCCTTCACACAGCAGCTGAGACAGAGCTTTCTCTGAAGAGAAATAAAAACAGCAATACCAAATTAATTTTTTAAAATATTTTTTTCTAAACCTTAGATGCTGTGACTGGTTGAAGCTGTTGATGTGGTGGCAGGATGCCTGGGGAAGTACAGGAGCACAGGGGGCAGGGGGGGAGGTAGGGAATAGTCAACACCCAAACACCTCCTCAGAGGAGGAAAAGCTTTCCAGAAGGGTCTGAGGAGCTCACTTAGCCACTCAGTAGTTTATGAATTTATAGATTCATACACCACTACAAAAACTGCATGGCTCCTGAGGGGGAAATGGTATTTCAAGGTTAGAGCTAGATCCTTTTGTCCCTCCACCACCAGAAAGTCCAAACTATCCCTCTCACTACAGCATGTGCCTTTCCATCAGCTTCTCCTCCAACAACAGCAGTATTATGCCACACATCTTTCTCCCTGAGATCCCAAATCCATCATTTTTTACAGCTAGGATGGGCAGAGCTCTGTGGCAGCTGCTCTGCACAAATCTCCCCTCCACTGCTGCATTCTGCTTTCTCTGGGTGCAAAATCCTTTCCAGACTCATTCAGAGACTTCACATTTTCACATTTCTGACAGCTGCA